TCCAAAACCCGCGTGGTACCCGCGTACGGGCCCGCCAAAGTTTGTTTGGGGTCAGTTCATAACTCGAGGACCTGAGAAGCTAGAAGGCTGAAATCTTGGGGTAATGTTCCCCGCCCAAGCGGCTATTAGTGGGCTCACGGGGTCAGCTCATAACTCGAGGATCCGAGAAGCTAGAAGGCTGAAATCTTGCGGTAATGTTCCCCGCCCAAGCGGCTATTAGTGGGCTCAAATATCAGTTCATAACTCGAGGATCTAAAAAGCTAGAAGGCTGAAATCTTGGGGTAATGTTCCCCGCCCAAGCGGGTATTAGTGGGCTCAAACCCGGCCTCCGGGTAAGCGTGGTACCCGCGTACGGACCCCCCAAAATTTTTCTCGCGCAAATTCATAACTCGGGACCCAAGAGGCTGAAATCTTGGGGTAATGTTCCCCGCCCAAGTGGGTATTAGTGGGCTCAAACCCAGCCCCCGGGTAAAGCGTTGTACCCCCCTACGAGCCCGCCAAAATTTTTTTCGGGTAAGTTCATAACTCGGGGATCTGAGAAGCACCCCCGTACGAGCCCGCCAAAAATTTTTTCGGGTAAGTTCATAAGGGTAAGCGTGGTACCCCCGTACGAGCCCGCCAAAATTTTTTTCGGGTAAGTTCATAACTCAGGGTTCTGAGATGCTAGAAAGTTGAAATTTTAGGGGAATGCTCCCCGTCCGAACAGGTGCTAGTGGGCTCAAATCCAGCCCCCGGGTAAGTGTGGTACCCGCGTACGGACCCCCCACAATTCTTCCCGCGCAATTTCATAACTCGGGGTTCTGAGATGCTAGAAAGCTGAAATTTTAGGGGAATTTTCCCCACTCAAGCGGGTGCTAATAAGCTCAAATCCAGCCTCCGGGTAAGCGTGGTACCCGCGTACGGGCCCCCCAAAATTTCTCCCGCTTAAATTCATAACTCGGGGTTCTGAGATGCTAGAAAGCTGGAATTTTAGGGGAATTTTCCCCGCCCAAGCGGGTGCTAATGAGCTCAAATCCAGCCTCCGGGTAAGCGTGGTACCCGCGTACGGGCCCCCCAAAATTCAATTTCATAACTCGGGGCACTACGAAGCTAGAAGGCTGAAATCTTGAGGTAATGTTCCCCGTCCAACCGGGTATTAGTGGGCTCAAACCCAGCTCCCGGGTAAGCGTGATACCCG